ATTTATTCTATACCCTGTAGACTCACTTGTGGATCATCTCCAATTGCATTGTGATTACGAGAGAAAGGATAGAATGCTCCTAACTGCATCCACCTACCGCACAATTCCTCGTTAGTGCTGCCTATAAATTCAAGAATAAATTGATTAAAATTAATTTATGATACAATCGATAATTGAGGCCAACCCTTAAGGCTATTTATAAACTGACCTGCGAATCCACAGATATCAGCTCCTATAAGTGGAATCCCAAACATCTGGAAGTTGAGTACATCAGGGATGCTAGTGTAGATGTTCTCCCAATCAGCATGATTGTCACCTAAATATGATATTAACATTACACTATTAATGGTGGTTTCCACAAAGCATACTGAGTGAGCTATATAAAGCATGCTTCATGAGTTGACAATTAATGGTCCTAACTTGAAAAATTTAAGTCAGAATTGGCTCATACTTTTTACATAGCATAAGGACATCAATATGCATTAGAAAATGTAATAAAAATTGGGGGTGATTTTGGAGCCATTTTTTGAAAAAACCATGGGCTATAGTACAGGGATTTTTTCAGAATTTTGACGTTTTCTTAAAATGGCCGTAACTTGAAAAATTGAAGTCGGAATCAGCTCAAACTTTTTACATAGCATAAGGACATCAATATGTATTAGAAAATTTAATAAAAATTGGGAGTGATTTTGGAGCCATTTTTTGAAAAAAACCATGGGCTATAGTACAGGGATTTTTTCAGAATTTTGACATTTTCTTGAAATGGTTGTAACTTGAAAAATTGAAGTTGGAATCACCTCAAACTTTATACACAGCATAAGTACATCCAGGAGTCCTGGTACATCAATATGCATCAGAAAATGTAATAAAAATTTGGGGTGATTTTGGAGCCATTTTTTGGAAAAAACCATGGGCTATAGTACAGGGATTTTTTCAGAATTTTGACATTTTCTTGAAATGGTTGTAACTTGAAAAATTGAAGTTGGAATCACCTCAAACTTTATACACAGCATAAGTACATCCAGGAGTCCTGGTACATCAATATGCATCAGAAAATGTAATAAAAATTGGGAGTGATTTTGAAGCCATTTTTCAAAAAAACCATGGGCTATAGTATAGGGATTTTTTCAGAATTTTTGCATTTTCTTAAAGTGGCTGTAGCTTGAAAAATTTAAGTCAAAATTAGCTCAAACTTTATACACAGCATAAGGACATCAACATGTATTTGAAGTAATAAAAATCAAGGGTGATTTTGGAGCCATTTTTTGGGAATAAACCATCCATGGTTTTTCCTCAAATTTGCTAATTTTTAAAATCCTGTGGAAAACCCTATGATGAGTGAATGCAATAATACCTGTCCAATGTCCAGCATGAGACCCAGAACCTGGGAATGTGGACCTGCTGATAACGAGACTCCGAGCTTTCCTTATGTCTTCCAGTGCTAAGTTAGTAGCTATTGACTCAGTTAAACCTAACAATTATTGATAAAAATAATTAAAATATTCTGATGCCCTTATTGCTCACCAAACAAATTGTGAGTATTATATTCCAGTACTCCTCCATAATGAACTGCATCCGTTGAAATGGTCTTTACATTGAGCGCTACTCTATTCCCTTGATTGTCAATCTGATATGGAGGAGAGTTAGGATCAAAGCCATTGTATGGGATAGTGGGTTTTGGAGCTTGCTGTATTGTCGCTGAGTCATCGTCAGATGAGCACTCTCCATTGCAAAAGTTACTAATTTCATTCATGTCTATCCACAAACCATCAACTGGGAAGTAATTGGTACGAAAGCTTTGAATCTGAGGATTATACATAATATTAGAAAAGAGGAAATGATTAAATTTGAAGCGTTACATTATTTTCCCAATACTGGTTAGCTTTTGGATGAAAGAAGTCAGGGAAGGTAGTAATCCCTGGCCATACTTTACCAGTCAATGGCTTCC